CGCATCAGGAAACTCTTGACATGCCTCTTCAATATGATCAAATGTCTCGAATTGGCGTCCACGCAGGAAATGTGTTTCATTAGCAGAAGAGAGACTATAATAGGACGTTTCAATATCTGGAGCGTAGACTGAGTGCGACAAAATCTGGACTCCCTCCAATTCATCAAACCTTTGCAAAATCTTCGTGGCTGTGTAAGGTTTGACATTTTCTTGCTGAAATAGAGCGCCGCCTTCGACGAATCACTGTAGGGTATTTTTCCTTTAACGCATTGTAGACTCGGCAGAGTAGACCATAACTAGCGTTGCCGTGAGAGTTCTTCACGTTCTTTACGGAAGCATTTCCTGAGGTATTCTCATAAATTTACAGCGGCCGATACTTGTGAAACAAACATAAAAATTCAAATTTTTCTCAGGTGGTAAAGATCGATTCTTTTTATGTTAGAGAAGAACAAATGAAGACACAATTTTTTTCGCGGAGCAAGCAGCCTCTTTGTTAAACAATCTTTTGTAAGTCTAGCAAATATTAATCGGAGACCAGCAGCACAAAGTCTTACGTTGCTAAGTAATGTGCTGGCTCAGATCAGCAAATCATTTTGACACATGGCCCAGGACCAGACACAGTGACTCAAGGTTTATCCAGAATGTTTTTTGATCTGGGTTGACACTAACAAAAGCACATTGGAAAAATTTCGAAAATCCAAAAGTGAACGGCAAGGTTACGTGCCTTGTCAGCGCGGGTGGTCTTGTGCCATATCTTTAATTAACATTTTAATTTGCAGTAGAACTGTCAAGAAAATTTGACATGGTCTATGCAATCAAATGTCAAACGAATTCGGCTATTTTACAGATATTCACTGCATAAGGCGTAGGTTTCAGAATCATGTGATGTGTAACAAGAGCAGAGAAAATTATTTGACAAAATGCTGCACGCAATCGCTTTGAGATCTTTAACTTGTTGCGTTTACTTGAGAGGTAATTTTGACGGAAACGAAATTCCTCCCAAGCTCTACTTCTATTTCTAATTCATCTTAACGCCTATCTTGAAAAAGCTCCCGTCATGTAAGCAGCCTGCTCCACCTTCAACCTATCTGCCATAGAGGATTTTTTTGATTAAATGACGAAGATAGATTTAATGAGTTACCCAAGCAGAAAGACATTTTTCATTAGTCTTTCTTCTGTTTTTTTGTTAATTTGCTCGCATTCGAGTCCATTGATAGCACTGAGACTGGCGAGAAAAATCACGAGTAAGCTCATTTTTTCTTCAGATGTAAACTTCTAAATTCTTACCGCTTTGCAAAGTTTTGTTGTTCTTGTCATGTTTCAATTAGGATTTTGACTTTCGCAGCTTTTCATAATATAGCAATACATCCTTCTTAGACATCGAAAACGGCGTCAAGTGGCATGACTGATTCGTCTAATACAATTCACTAACGTCAGATTCTTTTTAGTCCTAATTATCCATGTGAAGCCCATTCACTTGTCTTCAGAATTATGGGATCTGATATCATACAGTAAGGTCACGTACTGTCTCCTACAGATCAAATTGAAAACAACTTCATATTACAGATGTTTGCATGTTTATTCTTTTACAAAAATCGTAATATAAAGTGCCATTATTCTATGAGAAAAAATTACATCTATAGCGCTCTAGAAATATTATAGCAGTTATAAGGCGTGCCGATAAACATGCAAGTGAAAATAGAATATGTTAAAATAAACGATCGTCATGAAAGAGATAGTGAAGGCACATGAAGAAGTTTTGCCCTCGGCAATCACAGCTGCTCTACCGTCACAGTGCTTGTTAATCAACAGCGAGATTTTTCTGGTGTAATGTAATTGGCGGAATGAACATTGGAGAAAAGTACAGGGACTCATGAACATCTACGGTGGTGGTTGAGATGTGGTAAAGTTAGATATATACTGCTAATGAGGTTCGCAGTAATTCTTTTGTACTAAAGCTCAAAACATAAATGACTTTCTTACACCCATATTCTTTCAGGTGCTGCCAAGATGAAAAGAAATTTTTATTGCAGCTATGTGATGTTTAATGCTTTTAGGAAGAAGTTTTAGAGATTTTAATTATAACTGATGATGGTCAAGAAATAAATCAGACTGAAATTCACATTTCTGCTCAGAGATTTTAAAAAATAAAGGTCAGATAGAGCTGAACTCGACACACAGTTTTGTTTGAAAGACTATGGAAATGGTTCTATTGCTAGATCGATTCTCGAGAACATGATCAATCGTCGATAAAAATCGCAGTTCAAATTGCATAAGATATTCATGATTCCAGACTGCCTTCAAAATTTCTCAAATGAGAGTTTGAAGAAACGTTTGTTAGAGACATAATGAACTATTTACATTTTTTTCACCTATTAAAATTCATTTTTACATTTTTGGTTATATGTTTACTGTTATTTAGTAGAGAGTCAACATAAGAGAACTATCAATATTACGCATAATGGATATCGCTAAGTCTTAAATCGTTTAGATTTTCTTTACAAGACATTTCCACTTCTGTCTGCGTTTTCAGAAACCTAAAAATATTGAAGCATTGGATAATTTGCTAGTCGCTTATAATTTATGATTGCTTGACTGTCATTTATTTAGTTTCCGCTTGTGTTCGTCGTCATGGAAAGACTCCATGCTAATCCAGTCACGACTAGCGTCTGTGAATTTACAGTGCTACGGCGATAAAGCACAAGCAGAACAAAAACCACGTAGTTAGGCGCTCTCAAAAGCCTTATCATTGTCTAACATCAAATTTTAACCTGTGTATACGACAAAACGTCTCAGGATAGGCTCCGTTGAGAATCGTCTGATGATCTGCTCCATGGACAATCAGCGGTGATACCGGCTTCTTCAGTTTCTCATGGAGTTCAATACCATGTTCAAACGGTACCACTGTATCGTTTCCACCATGGCAAATGAGAACGGGAGCATCGATTTCGCCTACTTTGTCGCATCTAAAAAAGAAATCTTTGAACAAGAGAATCAAAGTACGATGTAGTAGCACATTTTTGATTTTGGGCACCGTCCTATTGTGACTAGACGATGGAATTGAAGAAATTCCAAGCTTTCTTTGTGTTTTGTCATAATCATGGCTCAAGCAGAGCTGATTACCAAAAACTTAGTTCATCGCAGAGTTTCACTGGTCTTAGATCTAATACGTAATGAAGTAAAAAGCCAGTTCATGCACTGTAGGTACAGATCGCCATTTTAGCCCGTTTCGATCTTGGCAGCCTAGTTCGGCCCTGAGATTTTAGCAGCCTCTCCGTACTCGTCCTACCTGGCGCTGCCGTACCAGGGGCTCTTTCAGGGTATGAGGAGATTGAGGCCCATATTTGTTACTGTCTTTGGCATTTTGATAATCAACGTATAGCTTGCCAGGCTCTAAACGTGTGGGCTGGGTACTCACGAGTAGCTTGCCAGTCTCTCTTGGAGGAGCGGGAGGAGCGTTTGTTGGAGGCGACTCCTAACCGCCTCCCATGTACTTCCCAGCCGCTTGATTGCAGGCTTTTGACCAACTTGTCTCGTAGAAATAGAGTTTTTGTTAAGTCGGCGCTGCAGAAGCAAGGAGCTTATCCCCTGAATCCACTTGCGCCTCTGGGAAGCACAAGGTGGCTTTTGGTTCCCGTTTTATTCCCTTATCCACCACCTGGGGACGCGCCACGTGTCAGGGTGGGATCCTAACAGGGAGGGATCCCTCAAAAACGTAGGTCCGTGGCAGTAGCCGACAGCATTTGTAAGACCTAGTTTTTTCACTGGTGGGACATATTGAGAAAAAATGAGACTCACGAATTGAATCTATCGAGAAAGTGCGTCTTTTCTCTTCGTGGTTTATTTCCTAGCAAGCGAAGAGCACTAGTGAATGGTGCTACAAGGACGACACCTGCTAGCCTTTCGGGGTGTGATGAGGCTAAGTCGACCACGAGCTGTTGTACCAATACTGTATCCTAGCAGTACTATCTGGAAATCAATGCAAATACAAAGGAATTCGTTTTGGAGTGAGTGTCATGATATCAAAGTATGGTTGTACAATGTCTAGCAATGTAAATTCTCGAGCGACCCCGACTAGCACTCGATTCACTCTCTATTCCGTTTCCCTCAGCGGTGAAGCTACTTATTGTGCTCCGCAAGCTCAACGGACAAAAACAAATCGACTTCCTGTGATTATCGAGAAACAAGATTCATGGCTCTACAAGAGGGAGTTTGACGGCTATATCTTTCGTTTCGAGTGTTTTCTTAAGAACACAGCTCAAATTCAAATATGACAGAGAATCATTTTTGAGCCACGTATGTCATGTGGTCTGTTAAGATGGGCTGACTTATAGAGCCCGATACACGTGTTTCGACCTTTCAGTCTCGTCAGTCGGGGCAGTTACACTTTCTCGTCTTTTTGCCAATCCTGTAGGTGCCTCCATTCCCCACACTAAGAGTTACCGACAACGAACGTTTTAAATTCTATGTCTAGTGATATTATCACGGAACAGAGTGTTGTACACTCAGTTGCTCTTGACCAGTTATTCAATATATCATATCTTTCAATGATTATTTGGCATATTGAAATTTGAGCTTTTAAAAAATCACTCGAAACGAAAGATGTGATATAAATTACTAGCCAAAAGCAGTCGAGTGTACAACATTCTGTGTTTGATGATAATTTCAGTGGACAAAGAGTGTAAAACGTTTGTCGTCGCTAACTCTTAGTGTGGGGACTGGAGAACCCACGCAGGATTGGCAAAAGACGAGAAAGGGTAACTGCCCGATTGACGAGACTGCAAGGTTTAGACACGTGTACGGACTCTATAACTCAACCCTTTTTTGACCCACATGACATGCGTGGCTCAAAAATGATTATTGGCATATGACGGCTTTAGCTTTGGATGTACTCCAAACTTGCTATATACATCATATTATATCAAAGATTTTGTTGATCTGATGCTCTTTTGATCAGATTTATGGGAAGGATTTCGCGTGATGAGTTGTCGCGAAAATGTGCCTCTGTGGTGAAGTGGTTAGCATGCGTCCCCCGGTATGGATGAAACGCGGGTTCAACACCCGTCTGTGGTCGTATTTTCGCTCCCCGCTCAATTTTCTTAGGTATATATGAAACATCATAAGCTGCTAAAAGTGCAGTGAGAACACCAAAAATTTCGAGGATTTCCCGAAATACTATCAAATCAATGAGATGTTTTTCCCATGGATAAAGAAGGCCTCGAAACTAATGGATCGAACCAAAAAACTATTAGAATCGCAGTCTGTAACCTGCTTATCATTTGTATAGTTTTTCGAAGCGACTAAAGCACAAATTTTTAGATGCCCTGAACAGCACCTGCATCTTTAGTGGGGAAACCATAGTCTTTCACGAGCTACAGAACAACCCCATAACCCTGACTTTGCCATTTTGAAACCCCACCATCATTTGAGGCAAAGTGGATGAGTATCTTCAAGTTGCTCATAACTCTGGGAAAAGTAATAGAGTCCAATGGAAAGTCATGGGATGGCCAATAGCATGAAATTATGCTGTTTTTTCGCTTTGCTAATTGAATCGTCCTCATAATGTCAAGTAGAAGAGAAAGTTCGAAAGTATAAACGGTAAGATTGAAGCAAAAGTAAATTTGGATCGGCCCCAAGACCATACAAACTGCAATTTTCGTGCAAACAACGTGATTCAGAGAACAAATGCTGATGTAAACCTGTTTGTCCGGTCTCGTCTGGAGAACATAATCGTATATTGCCCTAATATCTGCGTAGATATTCTTCTCGGATACACTTCCAGTAGAATAACCGTAACTGAAGTCATAATGTTTGATTTCGAGGAGAGAATGTATCTCTGATTTCCCTTGCATTATTTCACTTTCACTCTATAAATAGTAATTAATACTGATTTTTTATACTCTACTTTCAAAAGACTCAATGAGGATAGAGTAAAATTTGTCTCATAATGCGATTTGTGAATAGCTTTTCGTTCAAAAATCAGAAATATTTAGCAGGATTTTGACCCATTTTTTACGTAGACTGATGCAATGAGTGAAGGTACGAAATAGGTCTAGTTCTCAAGAGTAGAAGTCCGTGCTTATCAGTATAAAACTAACCCTGAGTAATCGAAGCCATAAATGTCAACCTCGAATATGTCAGCGAGTTGAGGAAGGTTCATAAACCGTGGATGCAGAAAGATGCCAAGATCTGATGAGTTGGGTTGGGTAAAAATTATCACCTGAAAATTCTTGCACTAGTGGCTCGATCTTGTTTTTGCAACGGCTTCATTGGCTCAGAAAAAGCCACAAGGAGGCTGCGTTTCTGAGGGCGATTTTTGTTGGGGATTTCAAAAGGCAGCTCAATCGGGTTTTTTGCATTACTCCAAGTCTCGAGTGATAATGCTAAAAAACAAATACCTGCTTCAACATGCGCTCACTAGAAGTTGGATAATACGGGCGACATTGCACAGCAATTAGATGATGCCCATTAGACGTGTGAACCGTGAATGCCTCAAGTAGAATGCTTACATGCATAACTAGTGAGAAACTTAATTCACAACCTTCAGAACAATAATGCAACTATGTATGTTGATAATGGAAAATCTTACACCAATTTTTAACCGTCCCATAACCCCGTCGCGGACACCGAAGTCTCCACCATGAAAAAAATTGGAATATACTTTTGCAAGTTTGAGTTTCTATAGAAAGTGTAGTCAGAGGAACAGTTCCAGGACCTAACAAATTACCGCCGACATTCTTAGAGTTCGCGCAGCCACAATCTATGTGTACTTCGTTTATAACATATGACACCATACCTCGAAGAAGAAAGTTTCTAGAGCGGTAGCTGATTCCGCTAATAGTCTTCCTATCCGAGAAAGTGACCGAAGAAATGTTGTAACTACCATTAATCATGCATGTTGAATGCACCCTGCAAACCATCCTCGAAGATTATTTTTGGCACATCTAAGATTGAATTGGGTGCACCCAGCTGGCACATGAAATTCGGACAGGGATTGTGCTACATGGACAACATCGAAGCCGCGTCGGTCATTAGAATCTGTCGTGAATAACACATTCTCTTTGTCCTAAAAATTATCGACAATGAGGAAACGTTTGGCAATGCATAAGCGAATGCATTCCATCAGTGCTCGTGGATGAAAGTGTAGATTCGTTCTCTATACGAACACTGGTTATCTATTATGGAAACTTCAGCAGAAAAGTACAGCTTTACATCAACCCATCACTTTAACCCATTGATAAAGGGCTCCGGCAAAGTGACACTACATCGCCAAAGCTGTTCACTGCCTGCCTAGCAGTGGATAATGAAGTCACTTGAATGGGGTAAAAGCGATATGTATATATATACATATATATACATGTATATATTTACATATATATGTATGTATGTATGTATATATATATACGCATGTATATATATGTTTTATATGCACATATATACATATATATTATTAATGGATCATTTTTATCAACCTTCAATTTGTGGATGACAAAGTTATCTTTTCGAGGAGTAGAATAACTTTCATTTAGCTTCATTTTGCTTCTCAACGAAGCCAGCAACTTAACAGCAAAACCAAAGCTCTATGCTCACCTTTTCGATTTAACAGTTCCCTCAGCGCTCTATCATGCAGTAGAGACGTGGGCTAATACGTCATTAACGTAAAGAAGACTGTGTACCACCCATAGAGGACTTAAACGAGAAACTTCAAAATATTATCAGCACTCGCATCGTACAACGGTTTACGCAGCTCAAATCAAGAGTTATCTCATCTGCAGCATCTAAGAGTATGTAAATCGAAGAGGAACTCTGGTGGGCGCTCATACAATAAGAAGAGAACGACAGATGTACGAAAAAACATTGGATTGGACTTGATGGCAATGCAGGCGCCCCCTTGGACAACCTCAAAACTATAACCGGACATATCGTGGCTAAAGTCAACCATCTGCATTCGTAAATAACAAGTTCAGGATTACAAAGTAGGTCATACATACGCCACCATTCTCGGAACAAACCACAACTATAGACGACGGTTGCGCGGGACAGAAACGAATGGAAAGTGTGCTAGGGACCGTGTTTGCAGTAAGCACCGGCCATTCAAACAAGTCAGTAACGTATCGGTCGAAATCATCGATGGCGACGGAACAGTTAATAACACCTATGAATGATGTAAGCATTTTTAGGAAGGCGCCACTTGGAAATCGGGTACGGATACCTAGTGCATATGAAAATTTGACAACGACAGCGGTTCAACGTTTCTAATTAGGCGAATTTATGCCATTTTTTACGTCTCGCGAGATCGGAAATATGATACGATGAGCAACTTGGCTTCACAATTGAGAGGAAGAAAGGATGTACTCCAGCAGCTTTTGGAGCATCGCGGATGCGGTGAAGAAAACAGATAAACCAAACTTCACGCTTACAGTTCGACTCCACGGTCCTCTCCTACCTTGGGGAATACGTTGAAAATCCGGTAACCACAGAAATAGTATGAAAAACTCAATATTGTCGAAGATACGGCCGAAAGGTTGATGCCAGGGGCATCCTGTACATATAAGAAATAATTTGAGATCTCGATCTATGATAATGATGAAAATCAAGAGCACTGTTCTACTCGCCAACTTTCAAAAAATCTGGTCGGGCAATTACATATGCATGATGAGTCTGGACGACAACCGATGGCCAAGAGCCGTTGTCCAGGTTTCTCGGGTTGTGAACAGGACATCACTGCCCAAGAGATCACTATTTTTCTGACACCTCTAGAAGAAATATCATATGATCAGTGAATTTCTGAGGCAAGAATTTTTTTCATTATAATGTTCTTGTTGCTAATTATACCTCTCCACCACTTTCTTCCATTTTTTTACAACTTTTTCTACTTATTTATTGGATTCGTCCACGCACTGAATGGTCACACTTCGCTTGGACGAATGAAAGAGGAAGGTTGGTTGGGTCCAGACTTTTTTGAGGAGATTGATAAAAATTACCTTGTAGTCACTAACCTTTACTCGATTCAGCATGAATTCATAGTCGAACTGAGATGTGAATTTCAATGATGTTGGCAAAATAAAAAAATTCTTGGTCGACCAACTATAAAGTGTTAGTAAGTGGTAAGGTATTTCCTTATCTCCCTAACAGAAAGTGAGCAAGTTTCACCTCATCGGCTCCTTCAACTTCTCTCTTCGGGATGTGCGACTCTATGAACAGTATAGGAAGCGCCTTTTTTTGGCGGATGAAATGCTAATTTACGTGCAATGGATTCTGGAATTGGTGGACAACCGATGTAACAGCACAAACCACACATCTGAAGGATAAACCCGACTGCCATAAATTACATGTTTTGTTAACGTGATTCGACATGATGTAAACCTTTAGAAGTGCTGTAAAAATTGTGATGAAGTTTGCCTGTGGTAGTTGAGTTGAAGATACAGTTTCAGGAGGTGGTTCTGCGCTTTCCTAAAGATGTCAAGCTGGTTTCTTTGACAGAATCAAGTTTTACAAAAAAATGAAGACCACAATTATGTTACTATTCACTGAACAAAAGTCCAGCAGAATACCTTATGGTGAGCAGTCTTGTCTCTTGTATCAATGTAATAGCAGCACTGTTGAATATTCATTAAAATTTCTTCGTTCGTTCTGAGTTCATGCTTGGGCAAAGTTCATGCACTGATCAGTTTTTAAGAGATGTGTCTACTTTCTTCTTAATTTTTTAGCTTTGCTTAAGGTGACTGATGCAAATCCTGTTTTTGCAATGACTCACAGTGGCCTACCACTGTATAAGGTCAGTGCTGCTATTCTTTCAGACAAATCCGGTACTAATTTGTCGAGCTCCAAGGGATGGAAGTTCTAGTGAATCTTGATCGAAAGATTCAGTCATCGATAATTGATGAATAGATCTTGAGTGTTGTAACACATCTCTGACTACTACATCACAAACGGTCCTTTCAGGTTACCTATCTTTATGGACCATGACTTGGCAATAAAATTTTGCTAAGAAATTAAGTGTGAAGAAGAACACGCACCTCTTCGATAGGACTTGTTCTGAACATTTCTTAGCAACACTTCTTACGAGGACG